GGAGAGGTTCTACTCTGCAGGTGTGGGGTCTATGGAGTGGTTCTATCTTGCACACGTGGGGTCGATGGAGAGGTTCTACTCTGCAGGTGTGGGGTTGTCATGAGTTACAATCCAACTAAACAGTGCCCACTGGGACCAAGGATCCCTCATCCCAACACTCCCCTGCCCCACCCCATCATTAAAGTGTATTCATCCATCAGGACAGCCCAGGAAAGCATCAGCCTTTACCATGCTTGAGTTGAATTTACCTTTCAGATTAAAATGGCTAAGAGAGGACAGCACATTCTTTCATCCCTTTCATAATGGGTGCCTCACCGAGGGAAATACATTGACTCTTCTTTTTGGAATCTGATTTCATAAAGTAGAAAGCCTCAAGATGCATCTGACCTAGAGAACCCCATTCTCCAACCACAACGTGGTTTAAGCTAACTGGGGTGAAGGCAGCTGGCCAAGTCTTCCCTTGACATCTGGTCAGAGATGCTCCAAAGCTGCCACCTCCCACCCTCTCGGACGCTGTGCACCCCCAGACAGGCCTGAGACCCACGGAATCACCGGCATCACCCAGGACCACAGCATGCACATTAAATGTTCTAACTCACTGCCCTTCTCCTGAATCAGCTTCAGCCTGCACCACATACCTCAATGCACAATGGGCTTTGTGGTAGTTACATCATTTCATGTCAACTTGATAAAGAAAGTGTAGGGGTGGAGTCTGGCCTGTCAATCAGGTCACACAGCTTGATGGTGCCTCCTTGTGGGCATGAGCTCCTCATAAGAAGAGTTCTGGGAACTTCTCTCTCTGTCATCACCTTCCTGCTATTGAGTCACTCCAGCGCTGCTGGAGCCACACTGAGACCTGGAAGAGCTCTGTGATGCTTCCAACACCATTGTATCCACAAGACTGCACCAATCGGCGGGTGATGTTCCGGTATTCTGCATCATTGCATGTGGCTGCGTGAGTGTGAAGAGGGACTTATTGACTAGTAACAGACATATGGACTGGGATGGGATGTGTGCTTCATATATAATTACTTCTTAAAATAAAGCCCTCTCTTACACATATACATGAGTGTCACTCAATTTGTTTCTCTAGTCAACCCGGTCTACCACAGGTTGCTAACTGCAAGGTAGCAATTCAAAACCACCAGCAACTCTGTAGAAGAAGCTTTCTCCCTTTGTAGAGTTACAGTCTCAGAAACAAGGGGGACAGTTCTACATTGTCCTCCCGGGTCACTCTAAGGCAAAATCAACCGATGGCAGTGAATGAGAGATACCTCAAAACTAAGCACAAATCTATTTGGACTAACAAGATAGCAAGAAGACTAACATAAAGATATCCTACTTGTGACTGACGGGGTTCACGTGCCGCTGAGACTTACCGAGGTCCCTGGCTATAAAAACCCATAAATGGAGTCTCGGCATTCAGCACACTGCAAACGCTTCTCCCTGCGTCTTCATGATGAATTACCAATGCGTGTGCCTCCAGGGAACATGTGATGGATGAAAGAATGTCTACCGCCCGGGAGCATGAACACTGACATCCTGATCCACCCTCACCCCACCCCCCAAGGTTAGTGTGGCTGCATTTATTTTTAACTTGCATTTTAAATGACAACATTTGCAAAGAGAAACAAAGCAAATTACAAACAAACTCACTGCCATCGAGTCAATGCCTACTCGCAGCGACCCCATCGGGCAGGACAGAACTGCCCCTGTGGGTTTCCAAGACTGTAACTATGTGCAGGAGTAGAAAGCCCTATCTTTCTCTTACAGAACTGGTGCTTTTGAACTGTTGACCTTGCGATTATCAGTCCAACATGTAACACATGATGTCACCAGGGCTTCTAACTAATCAAATTAGCTTTTCCTGTAGTCAAAAAGTGAAGCAAAAGTACTGTGAAATGCCAAAGGCTGGTCAGAAAAGCACAAAGCAGCGTAGGGGGGTGGGGAGGAAGCAACTCACCTCGGCATCGTCACCGAAGAATCTATACTTGTACCCACATTCCACGCACAAAATGGCATCTTTATGCTGCTCCTTCATTGCCATGTACTGCAACTCTAATGGAGTGTAGACACTTTTGGTCCGTCTGCTCGACGCCTTAGGATCAGAAGTTAGTGTTCTGCCCTGGTAACAAGAGTTTGATAGTTTAAAAACACCCACCATTACTCCCTCTACACAAGAACACTTTGTTCTAACAATCTGGCACTCTGTGATGCTCACCTTCCAGACATGATCACTGAAGACAAAGTGGGTGCATAAGCAAATGTGATGAAGAAAGCTGATGGTGCCCAGCTATCAAAAGATACAGCATCTAGGGTCTTAAAGGCTCAAAGATAAACAAGCGGCCATCTAACGGAGAAGCAACAAAGCCCAAATGGATGAAGCACACCAGCAAGGTATTGATAGGATCAGGTATCAAAAACCCAGAACAAAAAATCCTATCATTGTGAATGAGGGGGAGTGTGGAGTAGAGACCGAAAGCCCATCTGTAGGCAACTGGACATCCGTTTATGGAAGGGTCACGGGGAGGAGACAAGCCAGTCAGAGTGCCATAGAACACCAATGAAACATACAACTTTCCTCTAGTTCTTTAATGCTTCCTCCCCACCCCCCACCCCCACTATCATGACCTCAATTCTACCTTACAAATCTAGCTAGACCAGAGCATGTACACAGGTACAGATAAGAGCTGGAAACACAGGGAATCCAGGACAGATGAACCACTCAAGACCAATATTGAGAGAAGCCATACAGAAGGGGAAGGGGAAAGTGGGGGGAGAAAGGGGGAGCCAATCACAATGATCTACATATAACCCCCTTCCAGGGGGATGGACAACAGAAAAGTAGATAAAGGGAGACATCGGTCAGTGTAAGACATGAAAAAATAATAATTTATAAATTATTAAGGGTTCGTGAGGAAGGAAGGGTTGGGGAGGGAGGGGGAAAATGAGGAGCTGATACCAAGGGCTCAAGTAGGAAGAAAATGTTTTGAAAATGATGATGGCACAAATGTACAAATGTGCTTGACACAATGGATGGATGGATGGATGGATTGTGATAAGAGCTATATGAGCCCCCAATAAAATGATTAAAATGATTTTTTTAAATCCACCATAATAAACAATAATAGCTCCCAGAGAGAAAATGCCAATGCACAACGCTAATATTGGATGAATGTAGGTGAAAAATCTACAGGGCCCCTGCTAGCAGGCAAGTGTTGTGTAGGTTTCAAAGTAAAAGGTTTCCACTCCCACTTGTCTGTCAGTTGGTTGTACCACGGTGGCTGGCGCGCTGCTCTGATGCTGGAAGCTACACCACGGGTAGTTCAAATACCAACAGGGAGACCACGGGGCAGGTTTCAGCAGGGCTTTCTGACTAACAGAGACTCTGTGCATGAATCTAGAGGTATATTTCTGAAGGGACTTGGCCAGTGAGGAGCTATGGATGGCAGCAGAACTTCGTCTGACATAGTGGCAGAGAGGAAGTCCTTCGGGTCGGAAGGCTCTAAAAACACAACTGAGGAAGCGCTGCCTCCTCAAAGCAGCGGGGCCTCAGCACCCGGATGGAGTAAAGCTTTGGGGACCTTCATTCGCTGTGTCCCGACTCCTCAAAAGTAACAAAACAGCTGCACGCATCTATTAGCAATTGGACTGTGGACTGTGTGAAGCATGAAACATGACTCAAAGAAGAGCATCCCAAAAAGAAAGAGAATGCTGAACGATGGCGAGTTAGGCACTGTTGTTCTTAGGTGCCGGTGCACTCCGTACCCTCCTCACAAGTGTTGCTATGTTTGCGCCCCTTGGTAGCCACTCTGTCAATCCACCTCCTTGAGGGTCTTTCTCATCTTGTGCACGGACCCTCTCCTTTACCTAGTAGGAGGTCCTTTACTGGGGACGGAGCTCGTCCAACAACGTGCCCAAAGCATGTGAGACATGTCTCCCTACTCTCACAGCTAAGGAACATTCTGGCTGGGCTTTGCAAGGCGGATTGGTTTGTTTGTCTTGCAGCAGAAGGCACTTTCAGTACTCTTCACCGGCACCTCATTCAAATGCACCCGATTCTCCTCCAGTCTTCCTTTCTCAGCATCCAGCTGCCATGGGCACGGGAGACAACTGAAAAAGAGCACGGCCTGGCTCAGGCACACCTTCCATCTTCGTTCTCTCAGCACGTGACATTAAAGAAGCCATCTGCAGCAGATTTATCTAGTGCAGGGCATGGATTGTAGATCTGGGTACAAGGAAATTCTTGGAAACTTCTATCTTGTCTCCGTTTATCATGTTGTTCTCTCGTGGTCCAGCTGTGAGGATTGCCATTTTCTTTACATTGAGTTGTAGTTCATACTTTAAATCAAAGATCATTCAATCAAAGCTTTGAAGCATGTAACGATGAGAACCCTTTCAGCAAGCAATGTTGTGCCATCTGCATAGCTCAGGTTATTAATAAGTCTTCCAATCCTCATGTCACGGTCTACTTTAGATAGTCAAGTTTCTTGGGTGACTTGCTCAGCACATAGATCGTATCTGCATTTTACCCAAGGTAAAATAAGACAAAGGTTTAGGATAAAGCCAACATATACTCCATTGTTATATGTCCTTGTCAACACCTAAAAATGGACCCAACTCCTTCTGGAACTAAAAAGAAGGCTTAAAACACTAGTGACCAGCAGAGGAAGAGAAGAGAGAAATAGAATGGTCTTCACAGCCCAGGGAGGAAGGCCCAAGACCAAGGGAAAACCCAGGAACACACACATTGCAGTTGCCAAATGCTTTTAAAAGTCAGCATACCTAAGACAAACAGTTAAGTGACTAACTGTTTAAAGAGACTCAATGTGAAGTGAAATTTCTTAATGTGGCTCTTCTACCCATGCCTTTATAATTCCCACCAGATGACTGGGTAGGAGCATGCAAATAGTGTGTGTGAAGCCCCGACAGAGGGGATTGGTCAGCTTTAGTTATCGTTCCCCTGGGTATGTAAGAGTGAGCCACATCAGCAACAGGAACAGAGAGAATCCCTGGGACCATCAAGGAGGAAGAGCCATAGTGGAGCACTTCAAGATCCCTATCTGCCTAAGGGGGCCGAGGCTGAGACCACAGGCACCATAGGCGGCAGCACAGAGACCATGGGACAGAGCAAAGGAGACAGGCCAAGACCAGAGCCTGTGAGGAGGTAAGATGGAACAGTAAACAGTCTCCCTAGCCCACAGATACAGAGACCAAGGGCTGAGAAGCTGAGGACCAGAGAGAAAGACTTAGCTGGTGGCTTAAGACAGGTGTGGCTGTGGACCAATCACTGAATCTTTAATGCTCCTAATCCTGGCTTGTGGCAACCTGTAAAATTTCCCCAATAAACCTCCATAATCGTGAGTTCTATATGACCACTGTAATGACTTATTGAACCCACTTATTGTGTCAGGAGGGAGAGACAGTGTCAGAAAAGGGTAGAAAGGGATAGAGGGTGGAAGCATGCCTGCCTATGCTTCTTGGCAATAGGCCTTGAGTAGGTGAGAAGTTGGATTTCCCTTCTCCCTGTGTAGTCAGAAGAAATCACGAGGCCTGTGCTATTTAAGTCACACAATATACCAGAAAAGTATGGCCTGGGAAACTCAAAGGATCAGCAAAAAGATAAATTATGGAGACGTGTGGCAGAGAAAAACAGGCCAATGTATATCAGCATCTGAGAACACATTTGCATTTAATTTTGATGAATTCTGTAGTAAGCATTCATGACTTTCATGAGAAGTACAGCCAGAATGCTCCTTAAAAGAGAAGATGGCAAGACTTCGTCTTACAAACGTTGCATATTTTATTAGGAAAAACTAGGCTGCCCATCCCTGGACTGGCCAGGGGAGTAGTGGTTGTTGTGCTGTTAGGGGCCATCGAGTGGGTTCCGACCCACAGCGACCTGTGCACAAAGGAAGAAAACACTGCTTGGCCCGGCACCACCCTCCCAATCGGTCCTACTGGAGCTTCCTTCACCCATTATCATGACCTCAATTCGACCTTACAAATCGGATTAGACCAGAGCATGCACACTGCTACAGATAAGAGCCCGCAACACAGGGATCGAAGATAAGTAAACCCCTCAGGGCCAACAATGAGAGTAGAGATAGCAGGGCTCAAGTAGAAAGAAAATGTTTTGAAAATGATGATGGCAAAAAAATGTACAAATGTGCTGGACACAATGGATGGATGGATGGATGAATTGTGATGAGTTCTATGAGCCCCCAATAAAGTGTTAAAAATTTTAAAAGAAAAAAGGACTCTTTTGTTTCATTAATTACCAAGAAAGAACCCTCCTTTTCCCAAAATCAAGTTGTAAGTCAGAAGTATAAGGGAGATTTTTGCTTTGTTCTATTTGAAGAAATTGCTACCCACCAGTATTCAGCAGGGTTCTCTAGAGAAACAAACCAGGACACTTAGGAATATATATATGGATAGGCTTATACAGCAAGAAGGAAAAGAACAGCTAATTAGTCTGCAGTACAGAGGTTTCAGTTCAACTCACTTCTGTGGAACAGTTAATATACTGGAAGTCCTTCAACTCATGTGGGCTGCCAGGTTCAAGGTCAAGGAAGCAGACAGCGGAGTTCTCCCTCAGGTAAGGCAGTCTGAGTCTTCCCACAGGGGCGGAAAACAGCAGGGTGGGCCAGCAACAGTCAGTCGTTCAGGAGCTTAGCAAAGCAGGCCCAGATATCGAACTCAAGCAATGCAAGGCAACAGGATCCGCCAGCCTCAAGCTCAAATGATTTACACACCAGCAGCGTGGCAAACCAGGTCTCAAAGGAGCCTGAAGCTCTAGCAACATAATCTATGGGTTGACTTGGTCCAGAGGTAGTGTAGCTCACAGCTTGAGGCAGAGAATTAACTAAAGCAGCAAAATACTGACCCAATCACCAGAGAGCAAGAGAGAGGGGGGCAGGCCTTACAGAGCCATTTATCTCTTTGCCCTCCAATCAAACTGAGACCTGATTAATCCCACATGTTCCTATTGGCCAGGTTGGAACAATAAACCTAACTATCACACCACCCCTCCCCAGTGCAGAGTGAATCAGGACCTCCAGGTATCAAAAAGAGAAAACGATAAAAAGAAAAGGCTCCCTCTCTCAGTTGAGAGGAGCACTTGTAACTGAGCCTACCTTGCATTGACTTTTTGTTTGGGCATCTTCAGAAGAAGCTGCAGTCTCAGCTTGCAGAAGATGGATGTCATCGAAATCAGTACATCTGGGTAAGACCGCAAATCTCTCTGGACCAGGCTCGGTTGGGGCTCGATTTGCAGGGAGAGCAGAATCGCAGCAGAATGCTTTCAGTTTCTCCAGAGCTTGTGAAACATTTCTGGTCCTCAGACATTTTTTTGATTCTTAGCAAGTCAGAAAAAAATAAAACAACAATGTATGGGTCTCAATATGTCAATTCATAAACAGACTAAACAAAATAAATTAAAGGAGAAATTCACACAAAAGCAACAAACTGAACTATGCCATATTGAAGATAAAGAATCACTGGGTTCAAGAGAAAGGCTAGAGTGAAAAATACATCTACGTGTAAAAATACACTCACTCCTGAAACCCCATGAAAAGTACAGTAACATCCAAACCGCATGGAAGGGGAGGGGAATGGGGTTGGCATACATCTATAAGGACAGAGGGGAAAAGGACCAGAGTTAACAGCAAATGTGCTATTTGAAGCTAAAAGGATGATCAAAGTTTTACAGATCTGGAAACTAAATCAGAAAGCTAAAAAAAAAACCCCACTGCATTGAATCCATTCCAATTCAGTGCAACCCCATGAATTAGAGTAGCTCTGCTTCATACATTTCTCTAGCCCTAAGCACCTGAAAGGAGCCCTGGGGATGCAGTGGTTATGTGTTGGGCTGCTAACTACAAGGCAGCAGTTTGAAACCAGCAGCCACTCCTTGGAAGAAAGAAGGGGCTTTCTACTGCCATTAAGAATTAGTCTTGGAAACTCACAGGGCCAGTTCTCCCTGGTTCTGCAGGGTCGCTAAGAGTCAGCATCGACTCAATGGCAGCGAGTCTGTTTTTTGGAAGTGTCTTAAACTGTGGGTCATGAACTCATGTGGGGTCACAAAAAAATTGCAACTCATGTGGGGTTGCAAAAAAAATGACTGAAAATTAATCAAACATCAAAATGCATAATGAATCTGAAGCCTTTCTGGCTGTGTTTGCCAGTGTTGCACATATTTCGGGTGAGGCTGGATTGAGAGTGGAAAAAGTTTAAGAGACCCCTGCTCTGGCCCTGGTGGTACATATGGGCAAGGACTCAGCTGCCCAAGGAACAGGCAGCGGGTCCAACCCATCAGGCAGCTCCCAGGAGGAAGACCTGGCAACTTAAAAGATTCACAGCCACAAAGAAGAACGCTCTGAGACAGTTCTACTGTCACCCACGGTGAGCTAAAATCAACTCTGTGGTACCTATCAACCACAATCTTTAACCAGATGCTGTTGGGTGGGCTCCAACCTTCAGATGAGTCCTCAAGTAAAAACAGGGAAGGAAAGAACCCATCCCGGTTTATAACATAAAACCCTAAGGGGGCTCAGGAATTAGGGCACCAGCAGCTCCTGAGTGAATAAGAGGGATGGGATATGAGGTACCCTGAAATAAAGAGGGCCAGTTGAATTCTATTTGATTCCCACACTATGTCCAAAGGTCAATATCCCTCATCTACTTCAGTAGAAGACTGGAGACTTCTCCCTTTTCTGTGACTTAATTTACCGTACATACAGGCCTTGGACTCTCTTCTTAAGTGGACTTTATGCTTATGTATTTTTGTTTGTTTGTTTATGTATTATGATTATTTCTCTGGCTTTCAAAATATATACTTGAATTACTTTTCAGATGGACAGAAGTTTCTTTCTGAGGATAAGGCCATCCTTCCTGGGAAAAGCCAACTAAAACTAGATTCACTGCCACAGAGTCGATTCCAGCTCATAGTGACCCTGTAAGACAAGGTAGAACTGCCCCTGTGGGTTTCTGAGACTGTAACTCTTTATGGGAGTCGAAACCTCATCTTCCTCTGGAAGAGTGGCTGCTGGTTTTGAACTGCTGATCTTGTGGCTAAGAGCCTACTATGTAACACGATACATGCCACCAGGGCTCCTGGCCTTCCTTGAGAATCGCAGGTATAAATAAAGGAAACTTACCACAGGAAATTGAAGGGTCAAGCACTGAGGTGGACATGTACAATGAAATATTAAAACCAAACAATGAAATATTAAAACCAAACAAAACGAAGCCCATTGCCATCAAATCCATTTCCACACACAGCAACCCTGGACAGGCTTTTATGAGGTTTTATGCAGCAAAGAACCTTATCAACAACTTCATCTTTGTCTCTCAGAGTGGTTGGTGAGTTTGAACCACAAGCCTTGTGGTTCGTAGTCTAGTGCTTACCCTTAAAAACCAAACCCGCTGCCATTGAGTGGATTCTGACTCACCATGAACCTGAAGAACAGGACAGAACTGCCATTTGAGGTTCTGAGCCTTAAAATCTTTATAGGACCAGACAGCCTCATCTTTCTCCCACGGAGCAGCTGGTGGGTTCAAAGAGCTGACCTCGCAGTTAGCACACGAATGATCTCGGAAAACATGAGGCTAACAGGCCAGACACAAATGGTCACACTATGGTAGGATCCCACTTAGGTGAAATTCCCAGAAAGAGCAAATCCCTGAAGCCAGTAGGAGGCTGAGTGGCTGCGGGGCTGGTGTGAGGAAGAAGTGGGCAGTGACTGCTACCGGGTCTGGGGTTGCTTCTGAGGTGATGACTGTCTGTTCTCCCATTGTGAGGATGGCTGCACGACTCGGAGCGTGTGCTGAAATACACTGGCTTGTACATTTTAAATGGGTGCGTGGCACGGCGTGTGAGTTGTCACTCGATTTCAATAGAGCTGTGTTGTTGTTTTTTTAAAGAACACTTTCTAAAGTAGAGCAATCACTCAGCTTTTGGCAGGTGGGTACTGCTGGCACTCCTTCCTGAATGCCATTTTAAGGAGATGGCAAAGGTCACTGGGCAGTCTGTTGTACAGAGGGTCCCTCTGAGTCAGTGCTGACTCCACAGCACCTAACAGCACGAGTCATATTTCCAGAACTTTCAGTATCAGCTCTCCTGTGTGGCTTTCATTAAGTTACTGGTCTCACCCATAGTTCTCCTCACCTATCATCTGTCTCCAGGATCCTGGTAGTATACTGGATTACCCATTGAATTGCTCGTCACAAGTCAGCAGTTCAAAACCACCAACTGCTGCAGTTGCTACAGGGTCACGTGAGTCAGAATTGACTTTATGGAAGTGAGTTTATTTTGTTTTTAAGTCTGAATTTTTACTGGAGTCAATAGACGTGAAAACTATTTCAATAAAATAGGATTAGAGCAAACAAGGAAACATTTCATTGAGTATGTGTATAAATGGTAAAATGGAGAACTGCTATTACACACATAACTTTTTAGCCACTCCACAATCATAACTCATCAGAGTGAATTCATGACTTCTCTCATTCAACGTCTCTGCACACAGTTGGAACAAAAACATACTGAATGTTTTCAAAGTGACCAATCAGCTTGCTTCTAGCTTGTACTTCGGCTTGGCAACACCACCACTCTCGGAGGAGAACGTGAACGAAAACGTTGCTGTAGTTAGCTGGAAGACAAGTGAGTGAGTCTGAGATCACCCTCGCTTCCACGGGCAAAGGCGCCCACTAGGCCTGCTGAGCAGAGCTCGTGAGCAGCAGGAAGCCCTCATCCACAGGCTCCCAAACTTACTTGGCAGATCACGTCCCTTTACAGGAAAAAATTCCTCTCGCAATTACAAACTTGCTCCCCAGGGGGCACTATTGCCACTTTGGAAAACACGAGGGGGGGCGGATGGCAAATAGTGAGTGCTCAGTAACTGCTTACAGAATTTACTGAAAAATGGAGCAGAAACAAAGGAAGCTCTGGAAAATATGCATCGCTAAATGCTGTCTATAAATCACACCTTTTCCTGTATATGCTTCAGAAAGAAACAGAGCAAAGGTTACTATCGGATTTCTCTTTTCCCACAACCCTATGGAAAAGGCTCTCATGCTGACATGAAGTCCGCAGTTCGGCCTTCTGAAGAGGGCAGGCTTCTCACTGAACCACTGAGGGGAGCCCTGGCGGTGCAGTGAGGTGCACGCTGGGCGGCTAACCAAATCATGGCACTCCTCACGACAGGATGCGGCTTTCTTCCCCTGTAAAGGTTAGTCTCAGAGACCCACAGGGGCAGTTCTCCACAGACCCAGGGTCGTCCCGAGTCAGAATTTACTGACTCATACTGGCAGTGACTTTGATTTGGGTTTGTAATCCACTGAGACTACTTTTCCCTCGTTTGTCACATTCTCTTTACCTAACTTCCAGGAGATAATGAAGAAGAGAAAAATGTCCTGTCTTCCTTTACCACAAATTCTCTGAGGCCAAAAACCATAAGGAAAATCCATTCAACCAAACCACACCCAAACATATTTGCGCACAACACCACGTTTAGAAGTCCAGCAGCTCAAGCATGCTGCTGTCATCCACTACCTTTTGGCATATAGAATGGGCGGTTCCACGCCAAGCAGGAGAGGGGAGATGTACAGATCCTGGCACGGAAAACTTTTCAAACTATCTATATAGTGGGAAAAGAGAGCAGCAAACTAATATATCTGTATCTTGGGAAAAGCACAGCCAGAGTGCTCCTTAGAGGCAAGGATGGCAAGACGTTGCCCCACTTACCTTGGGCATGTTGTCACGAGACACAAGTGCTGGAGAAGGGCAGTGAGAGAGGCAGGCCCTCAACAAGACAGATCAATCCAGTGCTGCAGCAGTGGGCTCAGGAATAGGAGCGACGGTGAGGACACCGCAGCACCGGGCAGCGTTCTAGTCTACTACAGAGTCTCTATGGTCGGGAAGGACACAGTGACACCTACAACAAGAACTACTTCTCAAAATACAGTAACGAGTCACTAGTTTTTCTACATATCACATCTAAATGGAAAACTCCAGGTGACTATACTCGACCTCACAGCCATCGTGTCAATGCCAACCCATAGCAATTCCACAGGGCACTGCAGAACTGCCCCTGTGGGTTTCCGATACAGTGACTCTTTATAGGCGCAGAACGCCTCTTCTTTCTCCTGCAGAGCAGCTGGTCCTTTGGAACTGTTGGTCATGCAGAGAGCAGCCCAACGCATAACCATTATGACACCAGGGCTCCAGAAAATTAGCAGTAGGCATCACTGAAAAGTGGGGTGAGCAGCCCTGGTAACACAGTAGGTTACAAGTTGGGCTGCCAACACAAGGTCAAAAGTTCAAACCCACCAGCCACTCCACTTGTGGCTGAAAGATGAGGCTTCTGCTCCTAAAGAGTTATAGTCTTGGAAGCCCAGAGAGGCAGTGAGTCTGTTCTACAGGGTAATTATTAGTCAGAATCAACTCGATGGTATTGAGTCTGGTCTTGAGTGACTTTTTCACTGTCTGTATTCTACATTTCTGTATTATTTGAGATTTTATAACAAGAATGTTCCACTCCTATAAGCAGGGGTGGTTGGGGTGGGTGGAGGGAAATTAACTGGAAGGAATAAATGAGTTAGGAGAACAAAAGCTAAACTGCAGAACTCCAGCTCTGTCCCCACCCACACCACCACCACCACCACCACTTGTTGACAGCTTGGCTTCAACACAATGGGAACTTCTCTCTACCGAAAAAAAGAGAGAAGACTCCAGTCGCTTCCTCTGCTCTAGAAAATGCACAAATTATAGCAGCCAAGACTGCTAGGAAAAAGAATCATTGTCCCAGAACTCACCAGAGTTCCCAGAAACTACCAAATCGATTCCTCTTTCTTTTTCTTGCGCTTTCTTTGCTCGCTTTTTAACAGGTCCATCATTCTCCAATGTTCTCTTTTTCCTTCTGTCAAGTTCTGCGGCCTAAATCACAAAAGAGGTTGGTTAGAAAATACCACAGGTTCTCAAAGAACCGATCATCTCTAGTCTCGATGTGCGATACACATCAAGTCATTTACACGACTTCTGAACTAGATCAAGGGTCTCACCATCTACCCTTCACAGAATCATACACTCTTGGCTCTGTAAAATCTATGGGTGAACTGTTTGTACCATTATCAAAAACAGGGTGTGGTGTAGGTCATAAGCTTCGGCACCTCAACTCCTCCTGGTATTAACTGGAACTGAGGCAGCTACCTTTCTTGACTCAATCAGCCTTCATCTATCACAGTTAATAGAATCAAAGCATCTTAAACAAAATACTCATAAGAAACAAACAAATATCTATTTAGGAAAGGCAAAGTCAGGAAGGAAGGATGATTTAAAATAACAGACACTGGTCTTAAAGGCTTGAAGTTAAACAAGTGGCAAACGAGCAGAGAAGCAACAAGCCCACATGAACGAAGCACTCCAGCCTGTACGATCTTGAGATGTCGAGGAGATCAGGTAACAGGTATTAGAAGACCCAAAACAGAAAAACTATATTGTTGAGGATGAGGGGGGTTGGAGCAGAAACCCCAAACCCATCAGTAGACAATAGGACATCCCTCACAGAAGCGTCAAAAGGAAGGGATGAGTCAACCAGGACCTAGCACAGTAGACAACCAATGAAATAATATTACTCTGGTTATTTGAGCCTTCCTCACCCCCCACTATCAAGACCCCAGTCCTGTCTTTCCGTTCTTGCTAGACTGGAGCATATAAACTGGTACAGATAAGAGTTCACAACACACAGAATACAGGTCAATAAACTCCTCGGGAACAGAAATGGGAGGGTAGGGGGAAAGTGGGTGAGAAGGGGAGGAAGGGGGAACAGATAGCAATTATCGACATATAACAGCCCCCCACACATACCCAGGGTAACAAACAACAGAAAAGAGAGACAGCAGTCGATGTATGATATGAAAATAATAATAATTTATAACTTATCAAGGAGCAAGGGAGGGGGGAAAAGAGGAGCTGATATCAAGGGCTCAAATGGGAAGCAAATGTTTAGAAAAGGATGATGGCAACATAGGTACAAATGTACTTGACACAATTAAAGTATGGATTGTTATAAGAGCTGTAAGAGCCCCAATAAAATGATCTTTTAAAACAGTGGTTCTCAACCTTCTTAATGCCGCGGCCCTTTCATACAGTTCTTCATCTTGTGGTGACCCCCAACCATAAAATTATTTTCACTGCTACTTCATAACTGTAATTTTGCTACTATTATGAATCAAGCGACCCCTGTGAAAGGGTCGTTTGACCACCGAAGGGGTCGTGACCCACAGGTTGAGAACCACTGTTTAAAAAAACAGACATTTTGGAAAGACTCATTGTAGTTTAATGGTTTCATGTTTAAATGGCTTATTCTCAACAGTAAAGATGCCATAAGATTACGAGCTATTCACTGGTAGGAAATGTGCCAAAACTTGTTTAAAGCTTTGAAATACCCTCTATGTGTTTGGATGTAAATGTAAATAATTCTTGGTACACTCATGAAAATGTATGTTATTCTCAAAAAACGAGCGAAAGAAAAAAATACGGGAACAAAAAGTAAGCGAAGGAAACAATATGCTGTAGCAGTCAAGTTGTTGTCCCCAGTAAACTTTGGTGTTGACTAAATGCTGGTCTATAAGGCCTGTCTTCACCTTCAGTCTAAGAAATCCTCAGGGGGGCCGTGAAGGCTCGGCCTTCAGCTTTGTCCCTGGAAGGACATCTCCATTAAAGGACAGATCACTGTGAGTTGGAACTGACTCGATAGACGACCGTGGTTTGGGTTTTTCGCTTTGAGAAACAGAAAGGGCCCAATGGCTAACCTTCCCATCTGTACCATGTGGAACTTTACAACTACGAGGAATGTCGTGAAGACACTGCGCTTTATGACTGCTTCTAACTGTAGTCCCTTTAAATACTGAGAAATGAGCTGCAGCTTTATAATCTAACAACTTTCAGGAGTCACTGAGGTCAGATGGCCTACTGAAATTATTACTCAAAGGAAATCTTTAAACCGTGAACAATATAACAATAACAATGATGAAGAATAAAACTAAAATTTTAAAAAACCTCACTGCCATGCAGTCAAATCTAACTCATAGTGACTGGATAAGAAAGAGTAGAATGGCCACTGTGATTTCTGAGATGGTAACTCATTATGGGCCCAGAAAGCTTCAGCTTTCTCCTGCAGGGCAGACAAGTTTTGAACTGTTAATCTCATGGTTAGCAGTCTAACGGGTAAACCACTTGCCCCAATAATAATTTAGCCTAATTAAAACATAATGGCAGTTATTCTTTTGTAAAAGTATATGTGGTCAAGTCAGTGATAGCAACTCAGAAGCAAATCTGAGAAGTGGGCTTGTGTTTAAAATGTCAAAAATTGAAACAGATTAAAGAGGAAAGTTGAACTATTAGCAGAATGGAGAAACTTATAGGGATGTTTCATGGTATACAAAGGAGCCTCAAAAAGTGGGGGGGGGAGAAAACTTGATTGTGGTGGTGATTACTACAATCTTTTGGATGAATTTGAACCACTGAAATACTCTGTCACATAGGGTCACTGTGTATTAGAATTAACTCTGTGCACAGAATAAATTTTATATCCTTACCAATTGATAAAAGTTTGTGGAAAAATTTTGGAAGGAAAATGGAATTTTCCCATGGACTTCTGAAGCCCCTAGTAAATTTCACCAAAGAATTCAAAATACATAAAGCAGCAGTTTTTTTCTAATTACCTAGCCAAATGCATGTAAGTATTCTAACAATACTTTCCTCCAATCCTCAATCCATTTCTTTTCTTAAAAGGAGGATTGAGATTAAGAGATACTTCACTTGTCCACACGTGTCCTAGCCTCATCAAAATAAGAACCAGGAGTCCTGAGTCTATTACGAACCTTGCATGACCTAGGTCTCAGGTTTATTAAAACCCTATGGATTGGGTTGGGATCATGATAGTGGGGGAGAGGAAGCATTTAAGAACTAGAGGAAAGTTGTGTGTTTCATCCAATCCTACCTTACAAACCTGGTTAGACCAGAGGATGTACAGTGGTGCAGATAGGAACTGGAAACACGGAATCCAAGGACAGATGAACCTCTCAGGACCAGTGGTGAGAGTGGTGATACCGGGAGGGTGGAGGGAAGGTGGGAGTTGAAAGGGGGAACCGATTACAAGGATCTACATATAACCTCCTCCCTGGAGAATGGACAACAGAAAAGTTGGTGAAGGGAGAGGTCAGGCAGTGTACGATATGTTAAAATAATAATAATTTATAAATTATCAAGGGTTCATGAGGAGGGGCGTGCAGGGAGGGAGGGGAAAAATGAAAAATGAGGAGCTGATTCCAAGAGCCCACGCAGAAAGCAAATGTTTTGAGAATGATGAGGGCAACGAATGTACAAGTGTACTTTACACAAGTGATGTATGTATGGATTGTGATGAGTTGTATGAGCCTCCAATAAAATTATTTATTTTTAAATAAAACCCTATGGTAAGCCTGATGGTGTAGTGGTTATGTGTTGGACTGCTAACCGCAAGGTCAGCAGTTCAAAACCACCAGCTTCTCCAAGGGAGACAGATGAGGCTTTCTAATACCCGTAAAGAGTTACAGTCCCTGAAACCTACAGGCGCCATTCTACTCAGTCCTATGGGATCACCGTGTGTTGACACCGACTTGATGGCAGTGAGTTTGATTTGGGTTTCATATGACTAAGAGGTACCCTACAGGTCAAAGTAGGGTTGTTTCGAAAGCTCTACTTCTTTTTTTTAATAAACATTTTATTGAGAGCTCTTCTAACAATCCATACATCCATCCCATCAAGTCTGTTTTCACTAGAAACTAAAAACCTTTAACTACTCCAAAATGTTTCTCACCTTTTCCTCCCCGGGCTCCACCCCTTCCCATCCGACCCCCTCAGGCCGCGGTTTCCCTCCATGTCCTCTCCTTCTCCTTCCGGCCCTGCAAGCTCCGCCCCCATGGCCCCGCCCCCTGCTGGACCAAGCTCACCGCGTGAGGCAGCCGTCCGGCTGGGGAAGTGGACGCTGGGGGCGCTGCGGAGTCGGGGTCTGCCTTCTCGGCTGCAACCGTGGGGGAGGAGGTGGACTTCACACTCCCCGCAGATCGGAAGAATCTGCTCAAAACCGCTTGCCTTGCAGGAGCTGGGCCGGCGTCCTCGGCGCCGCCTGAGGCCAGCTTCCGGCGGGACATAGCTGGGCCGGAATGGCAGTCTGGTGGGTAGGGCCGAGCTGAGAGCGCGACCCCGCGGCCACAGTTCCCAGGCGTCCGCGGCCGCGAGCACGCCGCGACCCAGTCGTGCGCCGGGGCGGGGTTAGGGGCGGGGCCTCGCCTGCACAAATCGGACCAAGGGGGCGGGGTGACGGCAATTTCGCGCCAAGCTTCGCGGGAACCCAGGACTCGAGCTGCGCTCTGAGGTGTTCATAGTTGTTCTCATGGCTCCTCCACTAAACTGCATCGCCGCTGTGTCCCCAAATCTGGGCATCGGCAAGAACGGAAACCTCCCCTGGCCCATGCTCAGGTACCTGCCGGGGCGGGGAAACCGTGGCTGGTACCGGGTGGAGACGCGCCTTGCCGACTCGCTGCTGGAGAATCGGAATTATTTTGACCTGAGCCGAGTCGAAGACCCCAGTTGCCTAAACACGACCTGGCCAAGACGCTGGGTCGTTGGTTGCCGACCCAGTCGTGCTGCTCCGAGGCCTCCCCGCAGCTCCCAGGCCGTGGTCGCCCACCCCGTGCACTCTGTCATCACGCATGTTACAGCCTGAGCCCACGGGGAAACGTCTAATGCTGTGTTTCTCTGACTTGCAGGAATGAATTCCAGTATTTCCAGAGAATGACCACGACCACTTCCTCTTCAGTAGAAGGTATTGTGGGTGTTTTAAGGGATTCAGGTTCACCTGGCCCCCAAAGTTCTTGATGGAATAAGTTTGCCAGTGCAAATATTAAATTGGAACGTTTCCTTTGTTAATCTGGAATCTTTTCCCTAGCTGAGATCTGTGTGCAGTTCCCAAGGTTTATTCAAAATTTCATTTTTCCCCCTTGAAATCATATGGGCTTGTTCATAAAATTCAGGTATTGGGCAATAATTGGCATAAAGCCATAAACAATAAAAGAGAGGTCACCCAAAAAGGATGGAGGTGGGGAGGACACTGGGAAGAGGGCTAGAGTTAAAAGGCAACCAGAGGTAAATACTGTTTTATGCACAATCCTGCAATAACTGTGGCCTACAATTAGAAGCGTGGATAAAGGTGCAGCTGAATGGGTGTGAGACAAAACGTGGACATAATAACCATATATATAAATATATATATGTATGTATGTATATATATATACACACACACACACACAGATTGACAGAGGGTATTTGTAACTTTTGCTGCCACTATGTTTATGAATGTGGTAAAGCATTCAGGGGGCAAAGTTCTAAGAACTTCATAACCAAACAGCTTGAGGGAATAAGTCACTGGACCTGAACGATCAGAGCCGTGGTCTGGGGTACATCAAGGTCAGTTGGCATAACATAGTTCACAAAGACAATGTTCTACATCCTACGTCAGTTAGTAGCATGGAGGGCTGTGGAGGGAAAGCATGGGACTCCAAGACTGTTCAGTATTACATCAGTTAGAGACCCTGAAAGTTGAACTCCAAGGCTTTCAGTGTAGCGTCTGAATGACATGAAAAGTCAGGAATGAGAAAAAGTGCCCTGGAGATTGTAGCAGTTTTGAGGTGCCACTCACACATCCAGGACAATCAGCCACTGAAGCAAAGAGGACAACCGAGGAGACAAATGAAGGGAGGGACCCAAACACACCGCCATCAAGTACATTCCCACGCATAGCAAGCCTATAGAGAGGGCTTCTTACAGGAGCACAATAGCTTCATTTTTTCCCAAGAAGCAACTTGGATGTGGGGTTAAGGGGGAGAGGGGACCCCACAAATCATCAGGTCCGGTAGGCGCAATTGTACAGTGATAATAAGTAAATGTTATAGTAAAGTCATAGTGTGAGAGTTAGAGGAGAGATTGGAATAAATGGAGTCAGACACAATTCATGGTAGCATTGTTCACCTCAGCCACGCTTGGTGGTCCTCGGGGTGGAGACCTGGCCACGAGAGCAGGAGCAGCCTCGGGGCCGAGAACCGGGGAGCCTCCTTTCTTTATTGCTAACCACGCATTATATCACTTTAGGGGGACATGATTACAGAATCACGTCACAGGAAGGGGCAGTACAATTGGCATACACATTGTAGGAAGGGGATCTATGATAGATATAAGCGTAACAAGAAGGGATGAGCTAGAGGTGTGCCTATAGGAATGGGAAGGTCTAGGGGTATACATGTGACAAGATGGGCGGACCCTAGATTCATGATGGCAGTCTAATCTTGTTCATCCTTGGGCGGGTTTGACCTCTCTGGTATTTCCTACAAGGAAACAGACAACTACTATCCTTATTAGAAGGGTGTGGGGCCTACTTGTTGTGGGATAAACAGTGGTGTTTGCTTGGTCTAGACAGCTGATAACTCTGGGCCCTACTCATTGTGGGATAAACAGTGGTGTCTGCTTGGTCTAGATAGCTGATAACGCTCAGGGAGAATGACCCCCAATCCACTCCTGATGACCCCCAAGTGTACAGTCATTCTCAAGCAGCTAAGTCTGGTATATATTTGGGGGAGACAGCTTGAGAGAAATCCTTCTGTTTCCCACACTTGGATTTGAACTGCCAACATGGTCTTAGCAATCCAACACTTACCCAGTAGCACCATCAGGGCTCCTTAGGAAGGAGACCCCATGTAAAAGTTGAGAGACAAGTCTAAAAGGGAACAAGAGGTAGAAACAGAAACGATATCAGAAAGGAGCCGAAGGTGCAGCGCTTTGCAGCAGGTCAGAGACAAGGCCCGTTGATTTGGCTCTTTAAATTACTGGTCGAAATAAATAAGAAAGTTCCCAAAGCTAAAGAATTCAAGGTGTGTTCTGGTAATAGGGAAAGAATGTAATTCCCAGCCTTTTTGCCTAGTTTTTAGTAAATACAGTACTTTTTTAATGAATGAACATGTGCCAAATGTGTCATTTCTGTATGTTTCTACCCCTCTCCATGTATGTTTTCAACTGTCTCCATATGTCTCGTGTGTGACGGGGTGTAGAAAGGGCAGGCTAGAGTAAGGTGACCAGATTTAAAGTGGGACACCATTGATGGGTGTGGGGTGTTCTTGATTAAAAATTTGGTCTATATGGACCAAATAGACCGTTCCCTAGCTTGTCGTGCATTCTTTCCAAACATTGGGACTTTTTAAAAACGCCCCAAATCGGGACGTCTGGTCACCTTAGGCCTCTAGCCTAAGGTTATGGTTAGGGTTAGAACTACGTCTAGAACCACTGCTAAGTGTGCTGTCATTGTTAGGTACTGTCGCGTCTATTCCCAGGCATCGTGACCTTACGCCCAACTGAGTGAACCACTGCCCAGCCTTGTGCCATCCTCACAGTTGTTCTTACATTTGAGCCCCTTGTTGCAGCCACTGTGTCAGACCATCTTGTGCAGAGGTCTTCCTTTTCCACTGTCCCTGTACTTTATCAAGCACAATGTCCTTCTCCAGGGACTAGTCTCTCCTGAAAACATGTCCAAATAACTGATATATGTGAGCATATGTAAAATGTAATTTATATAAATTATATATTATAACCTGTACGTGTGCATATAGGAGTCCTGGCTGCATAGTGGTTACGCATAGGGCTGCTAGCCTCGAAGTCAGTAGTTTGAAATCACCAACCGCCCCTAGGGAGAAGGGTGAGGCTTTTTACTCCCCTAAAGAGTTACAGTTTAAGAGATCTTGGTGCGGGGTGGGGGGCACAGTTCTTCCCTGCCTTATCTGGTTTCCATGAGTCAGAATTAACCTGGTGGCAGTGAGTTTAGTTAGCGGTGCATATTCACATAGATTGGGCAGTCTGAAACTGATTTACTTTTCCCAAAGATTATACTTATATTTTTGTGGGTTTTACAGGTAAACAGAATTTGGTGATTATGGGTAGGAAGACCTGGTTCTCCATTCCTGAGAAGAATAGGCCTTTGAAAGATAGGATTAATTTAGTTCTCAGTAGAGAACTCACGTAAGTACTGTCATTTACATTCACTGTAAGACTCGCCTGTGTATGACCCACTGAGGTGGGTGGAAAGAAGCTGTTGATGAAGATACTTCATATCAGTCAAGTGATTACGGGCAATGAATAAGCAGTCATTTCTGCCATATAACAATAACTTTCTCTGGCTCATAACCTTGAAAAGTTAAAGTAAACAATAAAAAGATTGACATGTTTCCTGAAACATTATGCAGTAGACTCAAAATATCAAATGCATGGTATAGTTAATAACTTTGTTTAGTTTCACATCAAAATATCTGTTTGGGGAATTATTCCAAATCAAGATATTATCCTCTCTCTGGGCCCAGTCCTAAATGCAGTAAGATGTACATTATAGGATGGGCTGAACCAGTCAGAATTGTGTACCCTATAATTCTTATTAACCACAACCCTCAAATCACATTGTGTTATCTATCTTGCATCTAGCAGAAGAAAATGTCTAAGTGTTGAAATAGCCCTAAGGCTTCTCAGAGATGAGTTGGCCTCAGGATTTTCCTGCCCTTTCAAGCCTTGGAGTAGACAGTTTCCGATGCCTGGCAATGTAGTTTGGTCAATGTTTCCATGTTATTTACCTGACATACCCTGATTTCTATTTCTTTTTTCCGAAAGAAAAAAAGAGAGAAAGAAACAGGGAAAAAAGCTTGGTTGTAACCCACTAAAATTTCCCCCTGGGTTTCAGGGGAGGGTGGGGTAGAACTTGGGTAGGGTGGGGTAGAACTGAAGTAGACCTTTGGGGCAAGTTTGGAATTGGCCTATGCTATTGTTCTTCCAATTAATATATCATGCTAATATAATCACACCGAAAATACATAATCTTAGGGCCCTGCCTGTTTGAGAACAGTGGTCATATAATTCCTTTGCCATTTGTATTAATCAAGAGGGTAGCTGGGGAAGCAGAACCCTTAGAAGACCTCTACTGACAGATTCATTACAAGGAGTCTGTTTGCACAATATAGGGCCTGGCCGAACAAGGACAGAAATCTGTAGGCTAGAATGTCAAGAAGAGCAGACACAGGCTCACACTGTGTCCACAGGTGGAATTTCTTCAGGGAAACAGCTCTATAAGACCCCTCAGCGGATTGGCTCAGCCCAGCTCAGATTATCTAGAATGCCCCCTACTTAAAGCTACCTGATGGATTTGAAGCACAATTACTTTCTCACGGTACACCTCCATTCATGTTTGAATAACCAGGAACCCCAGCCTAGCTATATCAAAAAAGACTACCATGGGATGAATTGGAAATGAATAACAGGAAGAAACTAAACTGTCAAAAGAGTCAGAGCAAAAAGAAAGTACATCAGACTGCCAAGGCCCAGCAAAGGCGATGTTCAGCGAAAAACGTAACAGCTAGCTGTAAGATCAAAAGGAAAAAAGATAAATCAATACTCTAACTTTACTATGTGAATTAGTAAAAGACGAGCAAACGCAAAGAACCAGAAGACAGGAAATGGATCAGTGCTGAGGTAGAGAAATGAGAGATCAGTGGAAACAAAGTTTGTTTATAAAGATCAATGAAACTTGAGCTAAACTGACAAACCAGAAACCCCAAACTCGCTGTCATTGAGTGGATGCCGCCTCACTGCCACCCGTAGGGCAGGGTGTAGAACTGCCTCTTGAGTTTCTGAAACTGTAACTCTATTGCAGTGGTTCTCAACTGTGGGTCGCGACCCCTTTGGGGGTTGAATGATTCATAACAGTAGCAAAATGACAGTTAAGAAGTAGCAATGAAAATAATGTTATGGTTGGGGGGGTCACTACAACATAAGGAACTGTATTAAAGGAGTGAGGCATTAGGATGGTTGAGAACCACTGCTTTACAGGAAGAGAAAGCCACGGAAGTGGCTGGTGGTTTCAGTCAGCTGACCTTGTGGGTCGCTGTCCAACGCTGCAACCACGACCAGAACTCCTAAACCAAAAGGGACTTCTTAAGAGACCATATGTGAAAGTCAGAAGCCTCACATAGCCTCGGGGGACTCAGGCTCCTAGAAAGCTCTTTCTCCCAAATCCCTCCCCATCTGGCACAGGTGGAAACGTGGAGGAAAGTGTGTCAACATCTGTAAGCGGGTGGCTGGTGGGTGCTGGGAACTAGGTAGATGTGCATCTTGCCGTCTGTCTCACCCCTCATGTTCTCTTGCTCCTGGTTGCTAGGATATTCCGATTCTTTCGTTACTTGGTAGACTGCAAATCCCACAGACTGTCTTGCTATTCCCAGAGCCTCCTTAATTCCATATTCTTGACTATAAAAGTTTATTCATGGCTAGCTTGAGCTAAAACAAATCTCAGTGGGGGAGATATTCACTGGAGCCTGCAATTCATCTCCAAAGATAATTGCTTCTTTATGACCTTGACCCCTCCAAACCACCCCCCAGCGAAGTGTGGCGGAGCCCTGGTGACATGGTGGTTAAGCGCTCAGCTGCTACCCAAGAAACTGACGGTTTTGAGCCTACAAGCCACCCCTGGGGAAGAAGATTTGGCAGCCTGCTTTCTTAAAGATATAGGGCGCCCCACCATGAGTCGGAACGTCTCAGTGGCAGTGAGTTTGGGTTGGTTGGTGGAACGGTTGCTTCTTAGGTGTTTATATGTAACATTTGTTCATGCGGGTCCCTTTTTCTTTTTAAAAAGTAAAAGGCAGAAAACCGTAAGTTTTCATTATGAAGCATGCTGAGAAATAGACATGCTAGGTTGGTTGTAAAGTTTCGGAGTTCATGTTTTGCCCCTCTGCTTTCCTACTGGCCAGCCTACAACACGTACACTGAGCACCGGTGGTATGTCAACAACCACTAGGGCTTAAATAAAAGGTCAAAATGTATCGAGGGCAGCCTTTGAGATGGCCAGGTTTCTCACTCTCCCCTCCCAAAAAGAGGAAGACCCTCACCTAAATGGATTGACACAACTGTTACTGTTAGTCATCGTCAAGTCAATGTTGACTCACAGTGACCTTGCGTGCACTAGCACGTAGCCCCGCCTGGTCCTACCCCATCCGTGCACTAGAACGTAGCCCCGCCTTGTCCTACCCCATCCTCTCAGTTGTCCTCATACTGGAGCCCGTGGTTGCAGCCACCATCAAGCCACCTCCCTTTTTCACTGTCCCTCCATCTCCAGGGACTGATCTCTCCTGAGTACATAAGACTAAGTCTCCTTATCCTTGCTTCTGTGGATCATTCCAGCTGGACTCCCAAGACAGATTTGCCTGTTCTTTTGGCAGGCCACAGTACTTTCAGCATTCTTCGCAAGTACCACAATTCAAATGCTTCACTTCTTCATTCTTCCTTATTCAGTGTCCAAATTTCACATGCATATGAGGTGATGCAAAATACCATGGCTTGGCTCAGGTGTACCCTAACCCTCAAAGTAACCTTGCTTTTTCAATACTTGAAAGAGGTTTGGTGCCATGTGTAGTGTGATCTCTTAACTACTGCTTCCATGAGCATTGATTGTGGATCTAAGCAAGATGAAATCCTTGACAACTTCAATCTTTTCCCCATTTATCTTGATGTTACCTGTTGGTCCAGGTGGGAGGATTTGGGTTTTTCCACTGAGTTGTAACCTATACTGAAGGCTGCAGTCCTTGCCACAGGAGCTACAAGGGTCGGATCTAATGTAACAGTTGTGAGAATGTCCTGTGGGCAAGGCCTGGCCATGGTTCATTCTTGTGTACCTCCGGTCACCGTAAGTCAGAGCCAGCCCAACAGCACCGAACAACACAGCCCAAAATAATCCCAAAATTTATTTTCAGATACTCATTCGGGGTAATTTTCTTAATAAGATAGGGGATAAAGTCCTTTTGGAAAGCTTTCTATGCAAATAAAGTTGTGGCTTTAAAAGAAACGGTTAGCAATCACATATGGAAACCAGGAATTTCCTCAAGTAATTAAGCATAAAGCTATCAGACCCTCGACGGCTATTGAGTCCATTCCGACTCAACGCCCCTGTGTATGGTTTCTGAAACTCTTTCTCCAGAGACTGGATGCAAACAGCATCCTCGCATCTGGAGAAGCAGCTGGTGGGTTTGAACTGTTGACCTCGTGGTTTGTAGCCCGTATATGACCCAAAAATTCCATTCCTAGTTATATACCCAGGAAAATTAAAGACTTCCCACATACATACTTGTACAGAAACGTGTGTAGCGACACTATTCATAATAGCCAAAGAACAGAAGAACCCAAATGTCTGTCAATGGTTGAACACCCCAATAAAATATGATAAAGTCATGCCATGGGATGTTATTATGAATTATAAAAAGGAATTGAAATACTGTCATGCTACAATACCGGACAGGCCTTGAAAGTATGAGTATGAAGTAGAAGAGGCCAAGCACAAAAGGCCAGATGTGGTATAACTGCATTTATATGAAATGCCCAGAATCGGCAGATCCAGAGAGACGGAGTAGGTTAGTGGTTACCAGAGCCTGAGCGTGAGGAGACAGAAATGACTGCTCCTGGGCACGAGGTTTCTCTTGGGGTCCCAGCGATGCTTAGGCAGTGGAAGTGGATGCCTAACTCTGAAGAGTCTCAAAATCCTTTGGCTGAGCGCTGGAGAGTAAATTAATGGTGAGCAATTTATATCTCAGAAAAGCTGTTTTAAAATGTTTGGGTTTTTTTGTTTTTACCACCATGCTGCAGTCTTGAAGGCCCAGAATTGCCTATATACGATGCTGTGATCCATAAAAATATTTAATCTATAAAAGTGACCTACCATTTTCATGGTACATACCATTTTCCCGTCCCACAAGCATTTTCTCCACAATGGTTAAGTCTTCCTCCTCGTCATGCTGCAGTTCCCTCCCCACCCGGCTTAGCAAAGACTAACCTGGCTCACAGGACGCCAGCGAGACCTGACTTTGAAGGTCAGTGGGTCAATTCCAAGCCAGGGTGAAACTACGTGTGTCACAGTAAAACTGCTGGCTGATTGTTATTTTTAATCATTTTTAAGAAGTAGATTACCACCACTTTCCTCTGAGTTGCCTGTGACCTTTCCATTAACATCCAAGTGCATGAACAGTTTGAGCTACATTAGGGATTCCGCCATCCCTGCTACTATAACATCGCCTTACCTCAGCTAATAGCCATTGTTAATGATGGTGTAGTGAATGTGGTAAAATTGGTGTGGTGGTGTCAAATGTCTCCTGACTTTGAGTGGATGGAGAAAGAATAATGAACAGTCTCAGGCTGATTCCCATATACTGGAAGTTAGACATACCTTCAACCACCAGCCTGTTTGCCAAGTCTGTCTGACACCAGCCGTCCCTCCCACAGCATGCTGTACATCTTTGCTGAGTTCAGTAATCATTGCAATGGCCACACACTCTTCAGAGTTGGAATCAACTGGATGGCAGTTAGTGAATTTTGCTTTTCAAATTTTAATGATCTTAGACTTTATAACTACACTATGTCCACCCCCAACTGTAAGTCATCATAGTTTTTCCAGAATCAGTTCTCTCCCTGAATAGTCTGATCCATCCTAGCAACTACAATGTCACGATACCACAGGCGATCCCTTGGCACACTTAACTTTTTGTGGCTTCCATGCCTTTTTTATGAGTCAAAATATATTCTTTGCTCTATCCCAACTCCTTTAATGAAACAAAGGGTAAAATAATTACATGTGTCAAAAAGAGGTAAGAAGAAGCCAAGAGAATTAACAATTTGATTTCTTGAGTGAACAAGAGTTTGTCGTTACTATTAGTTGAAAGACTTGTACTTTTTTAAGCACCAGGCTAAGAACTTGACATTGAATTGTAATCTCTGTTCTGCTCCTAATTATTGTGAAGACAGATTATTGTGTGGTAACTCATTTATAAAATGAATTGCACAACCCCTGTGACAGTGAAGGGTATTGGAGTTGGGAAGACGTGAGACTAGCCAGTGTCAATATTGAAATTAACCTTTTTCCCTGTTAGATTGTGTGTACTGAGTGTGTTCCGTGTATTCACGTGGATTCCAACTCCGAGTGACCCGGCGACGTAGACTAGAAGGAAACACTGCCTGGTCCTGTGCTATCCTCACAACTGTCATGTTTAAGCCTATTGCTACAGTCACTATGTTGGTCCATCTAGAAGTAGTGAGTCTCCTGTACTTCACTGACCCTCTACTTTACCATGCATGTTGTCGTATTCTGGGGACTGGTCCAAACAGGTCATAGGTCCAAAGTACAAAGTCTTGCTATCATCGCTTCTAAGGGATACTATACAGTATTTCCTCCAAGCTAGATTTTCCTGTCTCCTGGAAGTCCATGGTATAGCCGATATTCTTCACCAGCACCATAAATCAAAGGTATAAATTCTTCAGTCTTCTTTATTCACTGTCCAACTTTCACATGGATATGAGTCATTTGAGAGTATCATGGCTTGGGTCAGGTTCACTATATTCCTCAAAGAGACATCTTTGCGTTTTAATACTTTTAAGGGTCTTTTGCAGGGATTTACCTAATAAAGTACATTGTTTGATTTCTTGACATATTTCCATAGGAGCTGATTGTGGATCCAACTAAAATGAAATCCTTGACAATGTGACTCTTTTCAGCTTGCTGGGATGATGCCTATTGATCAAGTAGTGAGGATTTTTACTTTCTGTATGTTGAGGTATAATCCATACTGAAGGCTGTTGTGGGGACCAGCCTCCACAACCCAATAGGTCCTAAGGGGTCATTGTATAATTAAAGGGTGAATTAAAGAAACATCAGATAAAGCTCACCTCATCCCTGGAGACTGGAAACCCACAGAGAGCTAATGTATATTCTGACAGGCTTATAGAGTCATGGGCTAGGAAGCCCCAATAAGCACATAGGTAACCGGAAGGGATGTACTAGGGGCATACATGTGACAGGAAGGCACATACATAACAAGATGGGTGGGTTCTAGAGTTAAGATGGCTACTTAACCTTTGCCATCCCTGAGCAGGCTTGACCTTAGGTGTCCTGAGTTCTTATCCTGGGGAATAATCTAGGATCCTTCTCAGAAGGGAGTGGGCCAGATTTAGGGTGGAGTGATAATAGGTCTGGTTGCTTCCCATGGCAGATAGCCTCTGGACCCACTAGAGAGCAGCCCTGTGCTTAATCGGAACATCTTTCAGCAGCCTAGTCTGGCAGGGAGATTGTGGGGGTGATTTTTAGTCCGCAGAACGTTGGGATTCATCTCCAACTCTCAAATCTGAAGGCCTTCCTCCACCAGTCTACCTCCCAGACACTTAATTCTTAATTATGAGCATAGAGAATTTGTCCAGATACACTCTCTTCCCGGTTCTCAGTTTCTCACAGACTGTAATAGCTAATCTTCATCACTAAGGGCTTTAAGTCCTCTAGACTTTCAGTAATTAAGGTTATGTCATCAGCATTTCATATATTGTTAGTCTTCTTTAAATCCTGATACTGTGTTCCTCATGTAATCCAGTTTCTTGGATTATTTGCTCATCCGAATTGAATAAATATGGTGAAAGTATACAACCTTGACTCACACCTTTCCTGATGGTTCAAAAAGTCCCTAGTGGTCTATGTAAAGGTTCTCTGTGACCACAGTTAAGTGGGCTGTGGAATCCCCATTCTTTGAGATGTGATCCGTAATTTCTTAATGATCCACACAGTCAAATGCTTTTGCAGTCAATAAATACAATCTAGTATTCTTCACTTTCAGCCATTATCCATCCGATATCCTTTAGTCCACATCCTCTTCTGAATCTACCTTGAATTTCTAGCAGTTCTTTGTACGTGTATTGCTATAACCACTTTGAATGATCTTCAGCCAAACTTCTCTTGCATATACTAATGACATTTTTCCATAATGTCAATATTCTCTTGTATCCCCTTTCTTTGGAATGGGGAAAAATATGGATCTCTTCTATTTGATTGGCCAGGGATCTATCTTTCAAATTTCTTGGCTTAGACAAGGATTGTTTCCAGCACTGCATCTATTCGTTGAAACACTTCTGTTGGTATTTCATCAAGTCCTTGAGCCTTGCTCACTGATGTCTTTAGTGCAGCTTCAAGTTCCCTCAGTCGTGTCGCTTCTTAATGATATGCTACTTCCTGAAATGCTTGACTGTCAACCAGATGCTTTTGGTTTGGTGACTGTGTTTCTCTTGATGCCTGCTATATCGTTCAGTATCTGACACATTATTGTTGCTGTGTTAGGTGCTATTGGGTCGATTCTGACTCATAGGCCCCCTGTGTACAGCAGAACGTTAACACTGCCCGGTTCTGTATCAGACTCGGTGTTAGGTTTGAGCCCATTGTTGCAGCCCCTGTGTCAATCCATGTCCAAAGAATCTTTTTCATTGACCTTCCACTTTCCCAAGCATAGTAGCTTTTTTCAGGAACCTTGAGATGAAATTTCACCATCCCCCCCATCTAAGCGATATTCTTGTTCCAAGACAGAAGTGTTTGTCCTTCTTGCAGTCCACTGTAAAGAGGTCTTGGGTGGCAGATTTGCTGCATGCAATACATTGTTTGATTCCCTGACTGCTGCTTCGTGAACATGGATTGTGGATCCAAGCAAGGTGAAATCCTTGACAACCTCAATCCTTTCTCCATTTTATCATGACGTGGTCTACAGGTACAGTGGCGAAGACCTGGTTTCTCTAATTGTGTTGTAGTCCATCCTGAAGGCTGTGCTCTTTGATCTCCATTAGCAAGTGTTTCAAGCAAAGTTGTGTCATCTGCACATCTCAAGTTCTTAATAAGCTTTCCTCCAAACCTAATGCCACATTTTTCTTATAGTCAGGCTTCTCGGATTAATTGCTCAGCCTACAAATTGCATCAGTATGATGAGAGAATACAACCCTGATTCTCACCTTTCCTGATTTTAAACCATAAAGTATTCCTTGTTCTATTCGAACGAATGCCTCTTGGTTTATGTACATGTTCAACATTCGCACAATGAAGTGTTAACCCACTTTATACCCACCCAGCCAGAAACAACTATTGTTCTGTAGGTCCGGTCTAGTATTACATGTGGGTTTTTAATTCATTGTAGACCATAGGCATTCAAATTTGGGTTGAATTATTGGCCATACATGTGTTAAGTGTTTTTATCTGTGTTGTGCAAGAATTCTTATTTATAGTCATTTTAGTTGTATAAGTTTCCTACTATACTAGATTTTAGGAAAAGGATGTTAATTGTTGATCTCTGTTTTCAACTTAAGGGAAACCCCACAAGGAGCTCATTTTCTTGCCAAAAGTCTGGATGGTGCCTTAAAACTCATTGAGCAACCAGAATTAGGAAATAAAGTTGACAAGGTTTGGATCATAGGAGGCAGTTCTGTTTACAAGGTGAGTAGAGGTGTCTGTAAATAGAAGTTTGGTTACTTCCTTTCAGGAGATAGGGCAGAGCCCATTGTCTGAACCTTAAAAGACTCAACTATGAGTAAAGGAAACACATTATCAGTACTGTAAGTGTATTAGTCTGGGTACTTTAGAGAAACAAATCCACAGAAACTCATATATAAGAGAGAGTTTTATATAAAGGTTAAGTGTGCATCAAGAAAACATCCCAACCCAGTGCCAACATTAACCCATATGTCCAACACCAATCCACAAAGTCCTCCTCCATCTCACAAAACAGGCAATGAGGCCGACTGCAGAAGGAAAGCCGAGTCAGTGAATGTGCAAACATCTCAGCGCTGGCAGGGGTCTTCACACGGCTGCTCCTGCACCCAGGGCTGCATCGGGGTAGGTCCGCGTGGCTTCTCCCTGGGGGTGTCTTGCAGAAAGTCAGCCTTGCAAGCTGAAGCAGGGAACTGCTAAGGCAGCTGCACCCTGGTGCAACCACCACAAAGCAAGAGACCGGAGAACTAGAAAGGTGAGGCTCACCAAGCCATTTATCCCTCTGCTCTTCAATTAATCCCACATGTGTTTATCAGCCAGGTTGGCCCAATAAACTAACTAACTCAGTAAGTTAGACATTACTACCTTGAATTTATAAATTTACTGAATAAAAACATAGAGGTTTCTATCCCCACTGGTCTCATTTCAAGGGCCCTTAGTGATGCAGTAGTTACGCACTCAGCTGCTAATCTGCACTTTGAACTCACCAGCATCTCTGAGGGAGAAAAGCCCTGGGGGACAACTAGAGAGATTTCAGACTAGAAAATCCTATGGAACTGTGCTGCTCTGTCAGATAATAGGGTTGCTAGGAGTTGAATAAACTCAATGGCACACAAGAGTAACAACAGTCCAATGTCTTAGGCTGGGTCCTCTAGAGCAGTAAAACCTGTGAAACACACACATATATGTTAGATAGATAGATAGATAGATAGATGCATAGATACATAGATAATTTATCTCTAGGCTTACAAGATCATCAGTTCAAAACCATGAGCCACTCTGAGGGAGGAAAATGAAGCTTCCTACCTGAAAGAGTTAAAAGTCTTAGAAACCCATAGGGGCAGTTCTGGCCTGTCTCAGGATCGCTATGAGTTGGAACCAATTTGGTAGCACTGAATTTGGAGTTTGGGGATATATTTTGGAAGCAAGCCACACTCCAGAGGAAACTCTCTCTCATTTGATTGCTGCTCGTAGCAGATCTTTTCACAGAAATGATTGCATTGGTCATATCTTATCGGTACCACATCCTAATTGTCAAACCACTGAGAATCATAGCCCAGCCAAGTTAGATTGTCAATCTAACAATCACAGATCAGTTTTAAAGTCAAAAACACTTAGTTTCCAACCTAAAGACTATCCTAAATTTTTTTCCTGTTAATCATATTTCTACTGGACTGCTTTCTACTTCCTAGATAACTGAATTGTCCTTTTCTTTAAGGTAAGTATACCTCTTACTGAGAAAGAGATGGCACTGACAATGTATATGAATTGTTAAAATAATAAAGTTTTCTCCAACTATTTACGCATGATGTGAGGACACAGGGAAGGATCATATGATTTCCTATCATAAGGGAAATTGATATATAATACAATATATTCTTTTTTCTTTAATACCAAATGACTTCCAGGTTTAAAGACTTTTAAGGATTATAAGTAGAATTCTTTGACTCTTGAAACACAAATGAAAAAATAACAAGTATAAGGAGGAAAAAAATGTCAACCTCTGCCCATTGGGGAGTGGTGGTTACTTAACATATTGAAATTGTTTTAGAAAGAAGAGATCCCACATGGCCCTACATGAAATTATAAAAACTCCATTTCTTAGCTTTCTGTTTCTACAACCCCTCATTCTCCTCATGGGTAATGTGGAAAATGGACACTTTCCATTGCTCCTTTGAACCAAGTATAAATTCCTAAGAAAACGAGCCCTTTTGTTTTTCCCTTACTACATTATGAATGATTCAGTATCAATTTCACTTGAAAATGTATCCTTTAAGCAATGTAAGTGCTTAAATATATTTCTATAATTTGGTTTATATGTAAAAAATAATAAAGTATGACAATGATTAGTTTGCACACAGCTCACATTACAAGAGCTTGTAGTTCATTCAGATGTTACTGGTCCCACATCTGGCAGACCTCTCTATCTTTGTAAGTACCATTTCATTGGATCACTGCTAGACCAGTCCTTGTGCAGTGGAGCCCTGTGGTCCAGTGAGCAAGTGCTCTGCTTGTGACTTAAAAGCTGGATATTAGAACCCACCAGCAACCCCGTGGGAGAAAGATGTAGCAGTCTTTAAGGATACATATAACCTTGAAAATGCCATCGGCAGTTCTGCACTGTCCTGTACATTTGTTATGAGTCAAAATCAATTCTACCACAGATTAGACTTTTTGGTTATGGTTGCTTTTGCCTATGAAAGTAAACTGTATAGCCCACAGTCAAAATTATCTGACCCCTCACAGAAACATTTACATTTTTCTGCCTTTTACTATCAACTTACATACAGAACTTCAAACACTGTAATGGTTAGTCCTGTTCGGCTTTTGTAATTTTTGTTACTGTAAGAAATGGTAGCATATAAACTTATTTGTTTAGAACAAGAAGATAAAGGATCTAATGTGAGCTATACTATTAAAAATAAAAAGGAACACTTAGCCCATGTCTTTGTTTGGATTTTATGGATAGCAGACTCCTAGAAGTAATTTTTCCTCTCTAAGCTCTTTGAAGATCAAGAGTTGCTGCTTTTTCTTTTTTCAGAGCTACCTCTAGGACTCATGACTTTTTACTAGAATTTTAATGTATTGGTCCCAAAATCTTTTTTTTTTTTCTGTAGAAACTACCAGCAGTACTTTAGGCAGTAAGTTATAACACTCATTAATAACCCAAGGCCAAGTGCAATCATTAGCAACAAGAAGCAGAATAAATTACCCACTGACATTGTAGCCATCACCTGAGCGATGGAAACATTACAGCGTCTGAGATGAATGTACTGAGTGCGCCCGAGGGGTTTTCCTGAGCCAGCGCTTCATGAAAGTATACTCTTGTGTCATTTGCATAAAATGTATACTCCATGTATACATGTGTAAGGTTTTCTGTGGAGTGCAATCAGATAATTTGAGATTCGTAAGACAACCAAATTTATGGTAGGGTAAATTTAAATATATAAAGAGTTCTTACCAGCAAACTAGTGGCCAGAGTAGATTAAAATTCACACTTGTAAGTATTCATGGTGCTCAGTGGTACTCCCGACATGACAGGAGCACACTCGTCAAATGAAGCCATACGATTTTTAATCCACAGGCTTTGCAAAGAGCAAGTTACATAGCATATCTTTTCATTACCTACCCTAAACTTGATTGTCTAATTTAAAAAACCGACTTCTTTTGATACAGCCTAAATAAGGAAATTGATAACTTTTGTTTTATTTCAAAGGAAGCCATGGACCAACCAGGTCATGTTAGACTGTTCTTGACAAGGATCCTGCAGGAATTTGAAAGTGACACATTTTTTCCTGAAATTGATTTAGAGAAATACAAACTTCTCCCAGCGTAAGTAAGATGTCCTTAATTAATCTGGAGCATTTCTTTAGATCTCCCACTTAGGAACTGTAGAAAGATCGGGTCTCCCCGGGTTGAATTCATGTTGCCTTAAAGCCACAGGAAGCACAGCATGCGCTTGTGGGTGAGACGGGCAAGGGCTGTGTTCTCCTTTTCTTTTGCTCACATGAAAATTTCATACCAAGAACTTGGAAAGGTTGTTAAGAAATTTCATGTTAGCGGGATGATAAGAGTGGAGAGACACAGGACACGCTGTCAGCAGAAGTTAGTTTGGGTAGAAAGATTGGGAGCTAGAACAGAAATTATACTTTTGATTTTCTAGTCTTCTGTATAGCTTGAAATTTTCCTTACAAACTTCATAGCATATTGACACATTTACCCAAGTTAACACCATAGTGAAGCAAAACTTTCATTCACTTTGTACACTGTTGGTGCCTTTGAGCTGAGAGGTAGGAAAGCTAGATTTTTCTATAACTCATGAGTCGTCATCTGCTCGATGGCCGTGAGTTTGGTTTGTTTGTTTTTTCACTGACATGTTATTTGACTGAGTACATTTTTCTTTTACAGGTTCCCAGGTGTTCTTCCTGATGTCCAGGAAGAAAAAGGCATTAAGTACAAATTTGAAGTGTATGAAAAGAATGACTAACATGAAGGCATTTTCTCGTTTACTTCAAGTTGCTCTCGAAAGAATTAAGTATTTTAACATCAGGAAAAGAGACTTTGTTGGCTTCAGATCTGTGGATAATTATTTCTCAGTGGTGATTTTTATTTTTTTAATTTTGTTTTTCCTTCATTAGTCCTAAGTAGACTATATCACACACGACTTGTGAAACATTTCTTACTCTAACTATATAAATCCCTCATGGTCCAGGGTTGGGTCTACACCTGCCCACACTGACATACTGCCCGGACAGCGTGTGTGAGAGCCCCTGACAGCGTGAGTTGAAAGGAGGCCCATAGAGATGGGAGCTAGACAGAGAAACAGAGCGGTGCAAATCCATGAAGCACAGCACAACTACAGGTTCTAATTCAGATGAAAATTTTATCAAAGGCTATAAGTATTCTGAGTATATCAGATTCTGATTTAAAAGTCTGTTCCCTCAGAGCAGGGGGTCAGTGAGCTGAGAAGTCTGGTTATGCAGTAAAGATGGTGAGAGGTGGGTAAAAGACTAACTTTTGATGGGTAAAAGTGAAGAAAAGGCCCGAGACCCCTGAAGTATGGTTTCCACTCTTCAGTGAAGCTCCATGGGACAGTGCAATGGAGAGTGCTCTGGTTAAAGCAATCTAATAGCAAGCAGAGTGACAAAAATTCAAAGTTCAAAGATATTATAAATTACAAATGAATATTCCTAGAAACCCAAATTAGTGAATGAGAAAATAAACTTCACAAAATTAAGTATTGAGAACGTATCTTTTATCTATTATGTTGGCAAAGATTATTAGAGTATACAAAGAATTTTCTGTATTGTAAGTTACAACCATTTTAAAGTACAAAATTAATAATAGCAATTAAAATTCAGGATGTTCTAGTTTTACACCCAGAAATTTTACTTCTAGGAATTAATTCTGAACAAATAGGAATGACAAACCACGCCAAAACAATGGTGCCTTGAGTATACCCAGAAGTACTGCTGTCTGGAGTTTCTGGAGCTGAACACTCAACTAATCAATACATAGAAATTGATACATATTCCAACTAATTATTGTTCTTGTTAGATGCCTTCAAGTTGGTTCTCACAGCAACCTACACAATGACAGAGTGAAATACCACTTGGTCCAGAGCTGTCCTCACATTATTGTGCTTCCGTCCACTGTTGCAGCCACTGTGTGAGCCATCTCCTTGAGAGCCTTCCCCTTTGACTGCCCCCTCACTTTACTGAGCATGATGTCCTTCTCCCGGGACTGGTCTCTCCAGACAACATGTCCAAAGTACATGAGACAAAGTCTCACCATCTGGCCATACCTCTTCCAAGACAGATCTGTTTTGGCAGTCCATGGTACTTTCAATATTCGTCTCCAGGACCACCGTTCGAATGCATCCATCCTTTGGTCTTCTTATTCAGTGTCCAACTACCACATGCCTTTGAGGCCATTGAAATAACATGGTGTGGGGTAGGTACAGTACAGTCTTTAAAGTGACGTCCTTGCCCTTCAACACTCCAGAGGTCTTGTGTAACAGATTTGCCCAATGCAGTAGATCATTTGATTTCTTGACTACCAACTCCCTGACCTTTGATTGTGGATACAAGCAAATTGAAATCCTTAACACCTTCGATCTTTTTCTGTTTCTAGGATGACGTTACTTATTCAGTTGTAATTCAAACTGAAGGCTAGTTCTTGGGGTCCCTCAATAAGTGCCTCAAGCTCTCCTTGCTTTCAGCAAGCAAGGTTGTGTCACCTGAATATCGCAAGCTGTAAATGAGCCTGCCTTCCATCCTAAAGCTATATTCTTCTGCATATAGCCTAGCTGCTCAGCATACAAATTGAATAAAAAATACTAATAGTAAAAGGATACTAATAGTTAGAATTATGTAAATAAAGACCACAGTGATCAGGTATGGCATTCTCATAGAGAACCCAGACCTTCTCCCGTGGAGCTGCTGGTGGTTTCCAACTGCAGACCACAGCCCAGTGTATAACGGCTACACACGGGGCTCCCAAATCAGACTTCAACATGTTGGCAATACTTATGGCTCAAGAAGCACATACTCTTCAACCCAACAGCGCCACTCCTGGGTAAGAAAGAAAAATACATGTGCACACCAGCTGCTCTCAAAGGGATCAGATAAGAAAGTCCTGGAGAATGAGTTAAGATGTATAACAAAACTCATAAGAAATGACCAGCTTACTCAGGAAGCCCTGAGACCAGTCCTTGGCCACCCTTATAGCCAGGAACTGAATTCACACACATGACTGAATTTTCCACCAAAAGAATAAGGTCTGTAAGGCGAACAATAGCACTAGTGAGGTTCGCACACCTTAGAATCCTCAACCAGTTGAACTTAAAAGGGCAGCATTGACCCAAGGACAAAGTTCAGAAGGGTCAGGAAAGGGGAATAGAAACAGGAAATGTGCAGTGAGTGGTGTTACGCTGGGCTTGAAGGGAATGCGGTGAGACAAATTGCTAATGAATTGTTGAATGTGAAACTAGTGATCTCTGTAACCACCCGATTAGCAATAAAAGGTTTTTAAAAGTCAATGATAAAACACACTTCTTTTAAAAAAAAATTATGTGTACTAGGACATTTATAGAACAATGTTGCAACTTGTTTGAAATAGTGCAACATTGAAAACAACTTGGAAATCCAGTAACAGGAAAATAGGCATATGACTATCTTTGATTGGATTCCCAAAAAAAGTAGAACCCGGACTAGAATTTACAGCTGGTTGAGATAGGGTAGACACATGAGAACTAAGGTCAGAGCCTGGATAACCGACTTAATCCTGCTAATACATGAAGGGGGAGGAAGGCACGCATCTTCACCTGGTGATGCTGTGAGTTAAGCATTGGCTGCTAACCTAACGCTTGGTGTTTCAAACCCATCAGCCAGTTGGTCGGTGATCATTGATTGAGAACCATTCCCAAGCTTTTCGACTGCCAGGCCTGCCTTGAACCCACTCTACCAGCTAGAGAAGCTCTCTGCAGGAAGAAGTACCTGCAGGGCACCTGGCATGCACAGGATCAGTGATTGCTGATGAGAATCGGGCAGGGCACTAATAACATTTGCCATCCCTTCAATGGAGTCCCTGGGTGGTGCATTTGTTTAACACTCCTGGCTGCTGTCCACAGGTGGGCAGTTCAAATCCACCCAAAGGTACCTCGGAAAAAAAGACTTGAGAGCTGCTGAAAACTCACCACTGAAAACCCTATGGAGCCCAGTTCCACTCTAACGCATGAGGCCACTCCATGGCAAATGCATGCCTTCGAACACTCAGACCCACTTGTCCCAATAGTAAAGTATTAAGGTCACTCTCCTGTCACCGGTATTCAAACTAACAGCTAATGAATTAGGAAAAGAAGAAACACAAAAGAGAGAGTGGGACAAACCTCAGTCCCTGCTGTTGGTTGACCCACAGTCACAATTCATATTTAGCACCTCCCCTTTATTCTCCACCAAAACTGCCGGTCTAGGTGACTCCCCTGGGAGGGTACTCAGAAGGGTCTGAGCCTGTGGCTAGCTTGCCTTTGTTAGTCTTGGTGACTGAAGTTGCCTGGTTCTTATCTTGGGAAGTGGAAACACTCAATGGTCCACCAATAAATATCTCTACTTCCTCCCCAAATTACGTATCAGGAGCAACTAGGTCTCATCAAGGTCAATTACTTCTCCTTCACTGGCAATTGCTTTCATTGCCTCTTGTTTACTCACATGGAAAGCAGAAAATGACAAAGCTTCGTGTAATGCTGCTAACATTTCCTGTCTTCTGCAGAAAGTAGGGTTCTAGCCCTACAGAGAGCGAAGTTGCAAAGATCAGAAGCCGTTTTCCCAAGTACACCATTGGAAATGATCATGGAAAGTACCAATCCTGCTTCTAGCCTTTTGTTCCCAGGTGGAATATATTGACTAGAGAAACAAATCCAGAGACACTCGTGTGTAAGAGAGAGTGTTATATCAAAGACTAATTGTATCAGAGACTGTGTGTGTCCCACCTCGGGGAAGAAGACAGGAGTTTCTGATCCTCAGGAGAAAGCCATGCCCACACAGAGGCACCATTGGCTATGACCTGATTGACAGGCAGACTCCACCCCTTCACTCCAGTGACAGGAGATTATGTAACTGCCACAGGGAGGAACACATTGTATTAATTCAGAATACCACATCTGAACCTACTTGCCACAACACTGAAGGATGATGGCTGATAGACCTCAACTCATGCAGTAAGAGGACAGCTGTGGCAGTTAACAGTTTATCAACTTGCATTTGTGGAGGGGTGGAGCCTAGCCTAGCAATCAGGTCACAGCCTGATGTTGCCTCCTGGGAGGTGTAAACTTTTTATAAGAGAGACACTAGGAATTTCTCTCTCCTCCCTCCCCTCCCTTCACCGTCCTGCTTGCTGGGACCCTGTGTCTGCTTCAAGGTGGCCCCTTGTGAGTCACCAACCTGAGAGCTGCCAGCTCTTGGATCCACATGACTTTGTATCTACCACCTGGGATCTCCCTGCATCTTGCTTCAACTTTATGCATCATCAGCCTTTGGCTACGTGATTCAGAAGAGGGTTCCAGTTAGCAGCACACTTATGGACTTGAGTTGGGCTAGGCTGTGATGCCTTCTTGATATAAAATTACTTCTTAATATAAAGTTCTTATACATGGATGAGTGTTATTGATAATGTTATCTTGAAAGCCTGACCTAACACACCATCCAACCTTCTTTTAAGCCAGCTCCTCTAGGTGATAGGGTAGAAAAGACTAGTGGATATGCCCACTTGTTTTACCTTCTTTGTTGTAAGTAGTCCCCTTGGTCCTAGGGGCACATCGGGGATCCATACCAAGAAATCCCACTGTGAGCTCTTGGAAGGTGGTGCTAGCCAAAGAAATCCCATATCTCAAATATATATTTATTCCTCCACTCTTGCTGCCTTGACATCAATTCTGACTCAGCCACCCTGTAAGAAGAGAACTCTCCCTTTGAGTTTCTGGGAATTTTTACCCGAGTAGAAAGCTTCATCTTTCTCCCTCAGAGTGGCTGGTGGTTTCAAAGCTGGCCTTGCAGTTAGCAGCACAATGCATAACCATTACAATACCAGGGCTCTTATATTTATCCAAGTAAGGACAAATTGTTCTCTCTAGGTCCTAAGGGTTGATTAAATCAACATATCAATAAAGGCAAGTTGATCTCAAGAGCTCAGCATCAGTCTCTTACCGACAGCTATCATTCAGCAGCAGCAACAGTACTTGATCACTTTTAGTGCTAAGGAGCCCATACTACTGGCCTCTATCCCTGCCATCATGACTATACCATTAGTGGACATATTATATGAGCACTCAGATGGGTGGCAACAGAGGCTGCAATCCAATGGGTGAGTCATCTCCCACTTAGCAGTTGAGTGCTAAGAATGGTGGATGCTTTCTAGTGGGCCTTGACATGAGATGATAACTACAGGCACAGAGAGTTCTACCCTGTCCTGTTAGGTCGCTATGAGTATGCATTGACTCAATGGGAGTGAGTTGTTTTAGTTTTCTGGATCAAGGCTGGGTCTCCGATATGGAAGGTGATGGTGCTATCACTGAACTACTACTGCTCCTACTTCTAGGCAGTAGTTAGCGGCATATTAGTCATCTCGAGTCCAGAACCAGAGAGGAGGTGGATGTCACTATACTGGGGTGAGTTTAATAATATGCGGGAACTCCCTCATGATGAGGAATTGTAAACCTTACGATGAGGTTAGAGTGGATAG